GCAGTCATTTGGGCTTAACTCTGACTGATTTTGGATAGAAGACTTACTCTGAGAATCAAAAACAATAATGTGTCTTGCAAGTAGTAGAAAGACCACACAATTATGGAACTATTACAGGTGGGATAAGTAGCTTTGCTAGACCGAAAATTCATGCCTCAAATGTTTTTCACCACACTCATGTCTTAATCACATTAAACTTCAATAATTAAGACCCCAACCAAAATCCAGTCCATAAGACATTAATGTAAGATGTTTATTAGTGTAATTTAATTAGCATAATGATTACATTAAAATGTCCCAGTATACAAATTGTTGAAGTCTAAAATCACAAAGAATATAAACTTAGGTGCATGAACAAAGCTATAAAAATATTTAAAAACAAAGCTCAACGTTGGGCCAAAAAAGAAGAGAGAGAGAGAGAGAGAGGGAGGGAGAGGGAGAGATTACATACAAGAAAAGTCACATTTCAACAGAGTGACCCCGACCAGTCTGGTCACCTCAGCAGTGAGATTCTGGGCCACTCAGGGGTGACCATCAGGGCAACAGAGCATTTCATTACAGGACTGGCTACTTCACAGACAGCTATATGTAAAACATTACATTTATTTCTTTCAAAATGAAACATCCAAGTGAAACAGAGCAAGCTAACAATATATACCAAATTTTAGCTAGTTGTTAGTAGAAAATTTCAATTCTATAAATTTTTTAAAAACGCTTAAAAAATAAATTTCAAACAAAAACATAATAAAATGAAAATAAAAGTGGAATAAATCAATGTCAACAATGGAGTGTAAGTGCGTGCCTCTGACCACTGCCACAGTCGTACCCAGGATTCTCCACCCACCTGTCACTTACATAAAGAGACTGGTTAAAAGTGACAGAAAGATGTCAAACAGGATTTTAAAAAGCTAACACTACCACTTACAAAACATTCCCTGACCAAAACAAACAAACAAAAAATACAAGAAAAATATTAAGCAGCCACATGCCAAAGGGAAAGGGCTACATTTTATTGATTGGATGCTATGGTCTCCCCCCGGTAACAGTCTCCACACTGCGTCACCTGCTGAGAGAGCCAGGCGAAGCCTTCCCTTCACCGTGCACTTCCATCCTGTGCCTTCTCTGCGAACCCACGGAAGGAATTCTCGACAGAGAAACCAACCCATGTGACCGGATCCTCATGCCCAGAAGAGAAAATGCTCCCTAGACCCCAGAAGTCATTGCAGCTACTCAGTTTAAACTTTCACAATACTTTTATATACCTGCCCAAAAGCAGTTCTGTATTAGAGGATCTAAACAGTGCATTCAATTCATCTCACACTCTTCCTCAGAAGACAATGCCAATTTATTTTTATTTGAAATAATCAGTAGCTCAGCAATTATAAACCTGCATAGTCATTAAGAGGATGGAAAATGTAAAAGAGTATTTCACGTTCCAGAACTTTTTATTTTAAGCCTTTATTTTTTTTTAATATTTTATTTTATTTATTTTTAGAGAAGGAGAAAGAAAACTATCAGTGTGTGGTTGTTTCTCGTGTGCCCCACACTGGGGACCTGGCCCACACAACCCAGGCTTGTGCCCTGACTGGGAGACGAACTGGAGACCTTCTGGTTCACAGCCTGCTCTCAATCCACTGAGCTGCACCACCAAGGGCCACATTCCAGATCTTAAGCCAGAACTCCTCTACGATTTCAAAACATGGCCCATGTTTTATATTCTATTTCTAAAAATCTAACCACAGCTTCTAACTTGAAAAGCTCCATACTACTTCCAAATGGTTCCAGATTTTTTAGCTACTAGCTTGGTAAAATGAGAAACAAAAATAAGGAAGTCTCATTAGACAATCCTGGGAACGTGTGCGTGCAGATGCTGATGCTCACGGTGCGGGACCTCACACGGGAGAGGCCCGGCTTCCGCACCGGGGCACCGTCTGTGTTCGAAGGGGCGCTAGTCCTGGTGGGAGACTGAGTCTAACCAAACAATCCCTCCACTAGAAAGCTAATAAATAGTCCTTCACGGTGTTGCCATTTAGTTTCACCTCATGTTGTTACAGGAAAAGTTATTTTCCCTTTGTAGCAACATCCCAGTATTCTAACATTACTGGATTCCACTTCCTTTAACTTTCTAATTCTTATTCTGATAGTTCATGATCATGTTAAGAAACATTGGTTACAAAATTCCATGCACAATCATAAGGTTGTTAAATTTTCAGGCAAATCTAAGACTAGATGAAGAGATAATTGTTTCATAATAGAAACAATTTTGGCCCAACTTGCAACTAACAAAGGATGATTTAATTTGAGGAAATATTTTTCAAAGTTTCATCGGAGCTCCTCTAAACCAGAAAACTTTGAATTAAAGTAGCGACCATTACTCAGATCTTAGTAAAGTGGGGAACAACAGAGGCAGCCTAAGGGGGCGCCCTTCCCCAACAGCAAGCTGGCAGAGGGAGGGAGGAAGGAGAGCGGGGGCGTTCGCACAGCCCTGGCGGACCCGGCCCTTTATGGAGGTACACATTCACATCAGGGTTACCATGTCCTGGGGTGTGTGGGAGATCTGAAAACGCAATGAAAAACGCCAACTAAAAATGTTTAAGGAAAAGAAAAATGTGAGCTCGAATTAAATGATAAAATGAGTTTGAAAAGAGAAAAAGAAATGAAAAACATTAGACGACCTTTATAAAAATACTAAAATTAAAAAGACTCCATCTTGGACTTGTGTTCAAACTAACGGGAAGGAGGCTCCACCAAGCCCTGCAGAGGACAAGAGGAAGCAGGTGGTTTGCTCAGGCATCAGCAGGGAGAGACCCCGAAGAACTACCCTCGGCTTCTTCTACATCGTGTCCAGGGAGGAAAAGCAAAGCTCTGCAAAATGCTGAAGGTTTTAGAAGTGGAACGGTGCTTAGGAAAGATCACTGGTCTGGTGTTGCCGCAGCCCCAGTGTTGAGAGACACTCTAGGCTTCTAGGAGGAGAAAAATAGAGAGGGAGGAAGAAGCAGGAAGGGGAAGGAAGGGACGGAAAAGCACAGGTGGTTAGTAAACAGCAAGTTCAACATAGCAAGGTGCTCACTCGTAAACCCTCTACATGCTACCAGTGGGACTGAGCTGCTCTTAGGACTAGAGATAACATTCTGAAGGAAACAGAAATGGGAACTTTCAAAGTGGCACCAGTTAGTAATGGCCAAATTAGAATGAAGTCACCACATGCTCCAAATACATGCACTCCTCATTCCCTCCCTAGTCTTGCCCACCCTCAAAGAAATGTGCGCATCTTCAGCAAAGCATCTGCTTGAATAGTCACATTCAGAACACGAACATCTGCCCAGCCAATGTATTCTACCCACGTGGGGAGAGGTAAGGTGTCCAAGAGCAGGAAGACCTGCTTTTACAATCTCCCTGGGAAGTTCATTACCAGCAGGGTTCTTTTTTGCACCCAGGAAACTAAAAGTATTAGAACCATAAGGGCTGGACTGTATGTTTTCCCTGCTCCTTTCCCCTGTCCTATTAAGACCTGGCAGTGGGAAGCAATTGCCACAGAGAGTTCGAGCCTTGTCTGGTCATACTTGACATCCTGCTGGAGAAGAAACCTACTCTAGTTTTGATAATCGTTTCCTTCCTGGATGAAAATGGCATCCGCTCTTTCACCAGCTAATCAAATCAATCCCCTCACAGCCTCTGCTTCCCCTGGCACTACCTCCTGGTTAAAGAGAGCTGCATTTATCCATTTTTTAAAGTTCATGTTCCAGCTTCTTCTCCTTTAATCACAGGGATATTTCCACATATGTTTTCTTAAAACCAAATGACATAGACAACTTCACGTTCAAAGCAGGCATACAAAACCAAGTATAACTACAATTATCAAAGAAAGAGAAAATTTTCATTTCACAAAACTGGAAGATACAATGGCATTTCTGGTTGTTTCTTGCTTTTAAAGTGTTCGTAATTCGTGAGTTGCTCACAAGGATGTGAATGTCACTAAGTAAAACTAACAGTCACAACGAATAGAACCTAGTCACCAATAAATCTGAAGATGCAAAGATATATGCAAAATAGAATAATGGCTACTGCTAACAGAGGCTTTTTGGATGTCAAAGTAACTGAGAGACCCTGCAGCAGCCGCAGGGAAGGCGCCTCAAGGCTGAGTGAGGTGTGCACCCCAGGAGAGAAGCAGACACGGTCCATGACCCTGTGCGCCCCCCACGGCAACAGGAATCACACGTCAGACCCCAGTTAAGAGGAGCACACCGTGTGGCAGAGGACAGCGTGTGTGACCACTGCAAGCCTATCATTTGGGTCAACAGTGTCCGCCTGGTCCCAACTGCAAATTAAGTGCAGTTGTTTATAAAAACTCAACACGACTCCCTGTCGACTACCTAAGAACAGACGGATACAGCGCGCAGTGGCACCTGCCACTGCTTCCAGAGTTGCGCTGCCCACAAACACACTGGGCGCAGGGCAGGGGGGGGGGACACCACAGGGACGCAGTGCTAGCTGACAGGGATCAAAGCCCTAGTGACAGGATAGGAGTTAAAGTCAGAGACAGATTTCAAATGTAACAGTCAATGGGAAAATAAAGAAAAAACAGGCTGAGGGCAAAAGAGGAAGAATAGAACTTTTAATCTGTAGCTCACAGGTTTCTAATCACTGAGCCATGGGAAGCGAACTGAGCCCAGAGTGCATTCAGGGAAGAGACCTGCCTAAGGCCTCCGATGTGAAATGCCCTGAGGATTATTCTGCCTCTGTGAGCGTATTTTTAAGACTAATCCAGCTCTTGTGTGGCACAACTACAACAAATATGGTAGGAATATCAAAGGAAATTCCCTCTTTCTACTGTTGGAGATGTTATGTGGCAGATGCCCTGGGTTTAAACACACCTAACAAGAACAATAACATCAAAAATAATCCATGTTTCCATTAACAATCCTCCTCCAAGGAGCTTACCCACGTGTTTCCTGTGACTGCTTCCCCCACTCATTTGGGGCATCCTGGGGCCCACTTACCTGTAGTGTCATTCCCTTCTATTCCGTGGTCCCCATTGGCTAGCACTGCTGCTTTAGGAGATGGAGTACCTGCAACCACCACAAAGAAGAATCACCCACTGTGATGGACAAACAAATAGTAAAGAACAGATCCAACTACTGTCTAGTAGCATTTGTGTCACACCATTAGCATAAAGCAGATAATCATTAGTCCAACATTAGCACTGGCTGGTGTGGCTCAGTGGATTGAGCGCCAGCCTGCAAACCAAATGGTCATAGGTTTGATTCCCCATCAGGGCACAAGCCTGGGTTGCCGGCCGGGTGCTCAGTAGGAGGCATGTGAACAGCACCGGACTGATGTTTCTCTCTCATATCGATGTTTCTCCCCCTCTCTTTCTACCCCAGCTTCTCCTCTCTCTGAAAATAAGTAAAATCTAAAAATATATTAGTCCGACATTAAAAGATCCAATAAAAGGAAACCCAGAAACAGAACAGAACTGAGTCATTCATCTGTACGGCCTCAAAACTCCGTCAGGCACCCCCAGTACAGGAGAGACCTTCCTAACAGCAAGTGAAGTCTCTTCTGTTCTGTAAACTGTCCAAGATTAGCATCACAGTCAATAACCATCATGAAGCACCACTCATTCGCTATCCCCGATTCTAATCAACCGCTCCAAGAACACGGGGCCATTTAAAACAACCCCCACGTGACAAGTCCAGAGCACTATCCCTGCTCCTGGACCTCAGGGTTACACAGAGGTCAGAACTTCTGGAAGCAGAGGGCCCTTCTTTTTTATTTTAATTTTTAGCTACTCTAATAAAGCATAGTTGTCTCATTCCCTAATAAACACGGATGTCGAGTATCTTTCCATGTGTTTATTTGCTATTTTTTAAATTTGTTTGATAAATTGGTCAATTTTTAAAACTATTTTTTTATATTTTAATTTTTTTAAAGATTTTACTCGTGTATTTTTAGAGGGGAAGGAGAGAGAGAGAGAAACATTAATGTATGGTTGCCTCTCATGTGTCCCCTGCGGGGAACTGACCTGCAACCCAGGCATGTGCCCCGACTGGGAACCGAACCGCAATCATGTGGTTTGCAGGCCTGCGCTCAATCCACTGAGCTACACCAGTCAGGGCTTACTATTTATTTAAAGATTTTATTTATTTATTTTTAGAGAGAGGGGAAGGCAGGGAGAAAGAGAGGGAGAGAAACATCAACATGAGAGAGAAACACAGATCAGCTACCTCTCATACACACCCCGACCAGAAACCAAACCAGCAACCCAGGCCTGTCTCCCAACTGGGAATCGAACCAGCGACCTTTCACTTTGTGGGATGACGCCCAACCAACTGAGCCCCACCAGCCAGGGCTTCATTATTTTTTAATTGGGTTATTTCTTATTGAGTTTTGAGTGTTCAGTATATATTCTGAATACCAACCCTTCATCAAATGAGCTTTGCAAATATTTCTCACGGTCTATAACTTATATTTTAATTTTCTTAACTGCACCTTTGGAAGAGCAAAAGTTTTACATTTTGATGAAGTCAAAGTTATCTTTCATCTTTCTGGTCAGGTACCTAAGAAATCTTCGCCTAAGCCAAGGTCACAGGATTTTCTCCTAGAAGTTCTATAGTTTTCCAGCTGAGGCCTATGACACATTTGGAGTTAAATTTTGAGTATGTTGTCAGATATGGGCCAGGCTCATATGTCTGCATATGGACATCTATTTGTTCCTACATCATTTGTTCAAAAGGCTATCCTTATTGCACTGAGTCAACTCTGCACCTGGGGTGAAAACCCAACGACCCTTTACGTGCTGACACGTTTCTGGACCCTGCTCTTCCACTGACCACTCAAAACGCCCGCCCGTTCTGCCAGCACCGCACTCGCCTGATCGTTGCACCTGTGTCAGGTCTTGAAATGAGGCCACGCGCATCCTCTGAGTTGGGTCTTTACCAAAATGGTTTTGATTATTCTTATTACTCTGTTTTTCCATGTAAATTTAGAATCAGCTGTTGATATATACAAAAATCCTGATGGAATCTTGATCGCAATTTCATTGACTATACAGATCAATTTGAGGAGGTAAAACCTTTTTTAAAAAATATTTTATTTACTCGTTTTTAGAGAGAGGGGAAGGGAGAGAGAAAGAGAGGGAGAGAAAATCAATGTGAGGTTGCCACTCACACACCCCCAACTGGGAACCTGACTGGCAATCCAGGCTTGTGCCCTGACTGGGAATCAAACTGGTAACCCTTTGGTGCGAAGGCCTGCACTCAATCCACTGAGCCACCCCAGCCAGGGTACAACTTTTTTTGAAAGGTTCTGAATATACCTAACATTTCAGCCACGTGCATAGCTCTGAAGTCAGCCTGCTAACTCAAGAGTTCCCTATGAATCATTCTCAAAAATCTCAGAGATATTTTTCAAAAACAAGTGAAAATCTAGAATGTATGCTACAAAATTATAAAATGCAAGATTTTACTTTGGAAGACAAAAACCATACTAACAGACTTCTGGCCAACATGGAAGCGTACACGGAAACACTGTACCTCCTCACACAACCAAACTTATGGCCAACAAAGATTTAGAAACAAAAACACAACCAAAACAGACAGAAAATTGAACTATACCAAAGTCCGACAACAAGGGACCATTCATCTAGACTGGTAAAAGGGGTGGAGTCAGCAGCCGGCAAAGAGGGGTCCCAGCAGGAAAAGGCAATAGTTAGCGGACCAGGCAGGCACAGGATGAAAACCCAGTACGGCTCACAAGGCAGCTGGCTGACCGTGGATACACTTTTGCTCACAGATACACCAAGCAGGTTTAAACATGGTCAGTGAGACAGACCACACAATCCAAGGCCCCAGCAATGGGAAATAAAAGCACCTACTGGAAAAACTTTCGGGGGTTGAAGTGTCAGGAGAGACTCCCAGCCTCACAGGAGAGTTCGTTGGAGAGACCCACAGGGTCCTAGAATGTACACAAGCCCACCCACCCAGGAACCAGCACCAGAAGGGCCCAATTTGCTTGCAGGAAGCGGCAAAGGGGACCGAAATCCAAGAGACAGCGGAACAAGCGCCATTGCTCCCTCTCTGACCCCACCCCCAGTCACAACCCAGCAACTTGGGTCGCCCCACCCAGGTGAACACCTAAGGCTCCGCCCCTCATACTTAACAGATGCGAACAGACCAAAACATTATGGCTCAAGCAGAAGAAAAGCTCAAAGCCCTAGAGCCAATACTTCTAAGCGACCAAGAGATAGCAGTCTATCAGATGCACAGTTCAAAACACTGGTGATCGGGATGCTTACAGAACTGATTTTAGTCGCAAATTAGAAGAAAAAAATGAAGGCTACACTAAGTGAAATGAAGCAAAATGGACAGAGAACCAATAGTGATGGAAAGAAAACTGGGACTCAAATCAATGGAGTGGACTAGAAGAAAGAAAGAAACAACCAAACAGAAAAGAATGAGGAAACAAGAATTCAGAAAAATGAGGAGAGGCTTAGGAACCTCCAGGACATCTTTAAATGTTCCAACATCCGAATTGTAGGGGTACCAGAAGGGGAAGAGGAACGGCCACGAGTGGAAAACTTATTTGAACAAATAATAAAGGAGAACTTCCCCAATCTGGTAAAGGAAATAGACTTCTAGGAAATCCAGGAAGCTCGGAGAGTCCCAAAGAAGTTGGACCCAAGAAGGAACATGCCAAGGCACATCATATTTACATTAGCCAAGATTAAAATGGAGAGAATCCTAGAAGCAGCAAGAGATAAGGGAACAGTCATCTACAAAGGAGTTCCCATCAGACTGTCAGCTGATTTCTCAAAAGAGACCTTACAGGCAAGAAGGGGCTGGAAAGAAGTATTCCAAGTCATGAAAGACAAGGACCTACATCCAAGATTGCTCTATCCAGCAAAGCTCTCATTTAGAATCGAAGGACAGTTAAAGTGCTTCTCAGATAAGGTGCTTGAGATAAGTGTTCCTCAAGGAGTTCATCATCACCAAGTCCTTATTATATGAAATGTTAAAGGGACTTACCTAAGAAAAAGAAGATAAAAAAGATGAACAGTGAAAGGATAGCAAACTTACAGTTATTAAGAACCATACCTAAAACAAAAGCAAACTAAGAGGACAGGTAGATCAGGAGTGAAGTCACAGAAATGGAGATCACATGGAGGCTTAGCAACAGGGGAATGGGAGGAGGAGAAGGGGGGAGAAGGTACAGAAAATAAGTAGCATAGACAGTAGGTAGAAAATAGGGGGAGGGCAAGAATAGTATGGGAAATGTACAAGCTAAAGAACTTGTGATACATGGGCATGAACTAAAGGGGGCGAATGTGGGGGGAGGGATGTGCAGGGTGGAGAAGAATGAAGGGGGGGAAATGGGACAACTGTAAGGGCCTAATCAATAAAATATATTTTTAAAAAAAGAAACCACACTAACAAACTACACTAACTTTCTGGCTCCCACAAATCCAAGGCAGAAATCTTTCCCATAAACTCATTAAAAAGCTCATTCATTCCACTGTCTCAGATAACCAAGGAACAATTAAAGAGAACAACCTAAAGGAACAAGGCAGACTGCTGGCCAAATGGAGGCAAAGGTAGATACACTTTGCGTCCTCAGGCAACCAAAAGAAGGACGACAACAACAAATTTAAAAATAACCAGAAGTGCCAGAAAATCGAATTGTATGAAAGTCCAAAAACCAAGGAGTTAAAGAGAAACATTCATCCAGACCAGCAGGAGGGGCAGAGACGGGCAGCTGGGGCAGAGAGGACTCCAGGCAAGGCAGCATCTGGAGGAATGGCCAGTCCCTCATTTGCTTGTGGACAAACAAGGAGGAACAACTGGGGAGTGAGACAGACTACACAACCCAGAATTCCAGCACAGGGAAATCAGGCCTCAAAACCTCTGACTGTAAAATGCAGTGGGGGTTACGGCAGTGGGAGAAACTCCTAGCCTCACAGGAGAGTTGGCTGGAGACCCACAGGGTCCTGAACATACACAAGAGCCCAGCCACCCGGGGAATCAGCACCAGAAAGGCCCAGTTTGCTTCTGGGTGGCAGGAAAAGTAGTTG